TTTCCTTGTGTGTCATTACAGTGAGCATACGACAAAAGGGCCTGTCTGTTACCACACAACATTTTGCACAGGAATTCATCTCTAAGTGGTACAAGAAAAGCATCGAGGGTTTTGAACAGATGAACAAAAGAATAAACGGAAATTTTATATAATAATACATACAACTTTTGTGTTTGTAGAGAGGGGAGGGCTTATGAACTTTAAAGGATTCGTATATATAGTTGATAATTATTCGAATATAAAATGTGTCGATTGGAACTACTTTTTGGTGTTAGAATTATTTCTGTATTTTCTCATCATTTTCATTTGAAAAACTTAAAATTCTCAATGAAACTGCGTCCCACCACAAATAAATTATTATCCTCTTTTTTTTTTTTCCCATGACTAAGCATGTATATTTAAATTATGTAATCGATGAAATTGTCTGTTATGTGCATCTCTTATCGGATATGTTAGTTTGTCTTTTTTATTTACAAGGGATATACATTCGTTATTGTGTACTGTGCGTATACTCTTATTTAATTTCTTGCAATTGTAGAAATCGTGAAACTACCGTTTATAAGCAATTAAAACCGAGTGGAAATATAATTACACTAGTGATTGGTAATTATACATTGTAGCAAGCAGATTATTATAAAGTGGCGAAATAACGCTCATTATGTGTGCGCACGTTATACAACGACGCACGTAATACTCGTTGCAATTTTTCTATGCAGTTCGACGTACGAGCTGTTATATTAAGTATTAAGTATGATGTAATAAGTATAGTGAAATTTCACGTGACGTATTAACAATTGCCCCATTTTGTCGTGAGCTTGGACCGGAATAGACCCTTTTGCTATATTATCACTGTACTCACTGGAAAAATACATTTTGTTGTTCACACTCGCAGATTGCAGTAATATAAAAGTTTACGCCATGCCGGTGAGACCGTCGCAATCGATAATGTATATCGACGATTTTACAAATGTCCCTTAAATAGTAAATTAACTAATATATGACCAACGAGCCTGTTTGAATCTCGTCATTCGATTCACACGCAGATTTATCCGATTACAACCGTTCGCAGTTTCATATACTTTGGGATTTATATAGAATATATAAAGGATAAATATCTTGAATAAGATTTTAGAATATATAATGTGATAAAAAAAACTAAATAGTTGAAAAGACTGTTGTGAAGACGAAAGTCCAACGCGAAAAGGAATGAATATTAAGAGTCCTATTGCAATTATTAACGTATGTATAATAATTAACACAATGACGAACGGACTTCTTCGACCGATGAATGAGTTGTATGATCTTCGTTGTCGTTCAAATTGTAATCTGTGAATTTTGATTATCCACAGTGGGATATCTAGAAACCGAATTGTTCTAGAAGTGGCACTTATAAGCAAAACTCAAGCGAGGCAAACTTATCAATAGTAAGTTCATCTAATATTCTATTTTTCTCAAAGTCATGATCGGGGTGGATAATTTGTGCTCGGAAACAACAGAGATTGGCGATGTGTTTCTGTAAATATCTTTGTAATTAAGCACGGATATTTTATTCTACATAAAAAGTATTGTAATTTTTATAGAACAGTTTGCAAATTGTGTCGCTACGTACGAGATTTTGGCGAACTTACTCCGCGAGCCTTAATGATTTCATTAAGATCGTTGACACCTTTGAAAGCTAAGTGCTTTTTATTGGGCTAAGTATCTCTTTATCTGATATAAAAGAGTAAATCTATCAAATGTAAAATCTACATATGGCATCGTGAAGAAAGACGTTTCACGTGGTCTCTATTTTCTCAGTTAAGAGATTTTGTTAAGTTTTTTAAAACCAAACTTTTAGTCTCTTTCTTATGATTGAGAAAATAAGATGAGAACTGCAGTAGGACACACTTGTTTGTCATTCCTCTTCGCGTTACGATAAAAAGAAATGTTCGTTCGATTTCCTCGCGAGACTGGAAAGTTTGCTAATAGATTTATTTAGTTGATCATATGACTGGCCACATTAACATAAACTCCAACAACGGAATACTTGAAAAGAGATAACAAATAAAGTTCAATGCGATGTTTATATATATATATATATATATATATATATATATATATATATAT